GGGGGGGGGGGTGGCGCCCGCGTAAGAATAAAGAAAGAAGATAAATAAATAAATAAATAAATAAATAAAGGGGGAATAGTAAGTGGGGAATAATAAAGGGGGAACAGTAAGTGGGGAATAATAAATGGGAAATAGTGGGGAATAATAAGCGGGGAATAGTAAGTGGGAAACAATAAGCGGGGAATAATAAATGGGAAATACACGCGTATAAATGAAAATAAATGAAAATAAATGAAAATAAATGAAAATAAATGAATAAATGAGAATAAATGAAAATAACAGATGAAAGTAGCAGAAATAAATGAAATAAGAAACATCCAGGTGAGTGAAGGCGCACAGGGCAGGCCGGGGCGGCGGGGCCGCACTCACCGTGCGCGGCGCGCAGGCAGCCCGCGGCCAGCAGCAGGCAGAGCGCCCAGCGCGGGGCCGCCGCGCGCCCCTCTCCGCGCTGCCGGCGCGACCGCATCGCCGCGGCGGGGAAAGGAAGGAAGGAAGGAGGCAGGGAGGGAGGGAAAGAGGGAGGGAGGCCGGGCACAAAGGAGGCGGGCGAGCCCGGGAGGAGGGAGCGGGAGGCCGGCGCGGGGGGAGCCGCCGCCGCCGGCCGCCCGTGACTCAACGGGGCGGCGCGGGCGGGACGCGCGCGGGTCCGCCCGTCTGCGTGTCCGTCCGTGCGGGCGGGCACCTGCCTGCCCCCCCCGCCACCCCCCCGCATAAATAAATAAATAAACAAACAAACAGACAAACGCCCATCCCCGTGGCGTCGGTGCTGCCGCGAGCCCCTTTGGCGTTTCGGGGCGTTTTTTCCCCACCTCGGTGCTACCGCGAGCCCCTTTGGCGTTTCGGGGTGTTCCCCCCCCCCCCCCGTGCTCCTCGCACGTGTCTGTCTGTCTGTCTGTCTGTCTGTGTGTGTTTCCGTTCCCCCCGCCCTGCAGCGGAATAGGGCTTGAAAGGAGCAGCCGCTGCTGCTGGGGAGGAAAATCACTGCTTGGGTTACGCGGCCGGCGGCTGTAGTTAATTAGTAATGGCACAAAAACGGTTCGGCGAGGTCCCGTGATCGCGGGCTTAGCCTCTTATTGAGAAGGGGGAGGGATCGGGGGGTTCGTCCTTGGGCTGTAGCCTTCCCAACATCCAGCTATGTCGCGGTGAAAAGGGAAGAAAGAATGAAAAATAATCCTTAATAGCTAATCTGGTTTTGTTCGTTGCACTGTTTGAATTTGTAACTGAGGTTCAGTGCGTCTCCGTTTTTTTTTTTTTTTTGTTCATTCATTAGTTTTCATAGAGCTGCTGTTTTGGTAGAGCCATAGACCCACCCCACCAAGCTGCTTGGTTCCAGCAGGAGGAGGCGGCTGCTGTTTCATTCCCTGGGAATGACTTTTTTGTTACAGCAGTATTTGCCTGGTGCTTTCAAACCTTTTTGGAATGAATGAGGAGGATTCTTCAGGTGAAACAAGCAAGATTCCAGCTTTCCTGGGTGCTTTGACATATTTCTTTACATATTATTTACAGAACGGACCCCTCTTTGAATCACACCCAGTGGTATCATAGCTCCATTAAAGACAAATCTTGCCATTGCAAGGATAGCTGCCAAGCAGGATGTCTCTCTTGCCGTTGATACAATAAGCGAGTGTCTGCGTCCTCCAAATGGGCAAATATTTGATGTATCAGGGACCTATTAAATGAAGCACGATATAATTTCAGGCAACTGAAATACTCCTGGGAATCATTCTTCTGATGCCAGTGTGAAGGTGGAGAGTGCCGTTCCCGCTGTCTGCATCCCTGGCCTTAGCTGATTCAGCCTGATCCTGACAAACATAAGCTGCTTCAAATAAGAAAAATATACTCTGTGCAAGGGAGGTCTGGTGGGGTCACCGGGAAGATTGGTTGGTGTAAGTGATAATGCTGGAAAGGCGGCTGCTCCGTGTGGGTTTGCAGCATGACACAGTGCCTTCCGTCAGGCGCTCGCTGTTGCGTGGTCCGCCCTACTTAGGGCCCAGCAGCATTCCCACAAATCTCCCGTTATCATCACAGCAATAACTCATAAAGCCGAGCGCCGAGCGCAGCCGCACGCGGCGAGACCCCGGTCCCGTGGACATGCAGGGTTGGATGTGACCCTTAGCAGCCTCGGGGAGGTTGATGCTCTTCCTCATGTGCCTGTGGGCAACTGTGGCTTTACTGGAGTGGCTGCTGTCCATGCGCGGTGGGGATCATCTTCTGCATCTTATGGATGCTGCCTGCTCCTCGGAGGCTTTGGGGTCCAGAGCTCAGGTGCTTTTTGGCACTTCAAAACCACCTCAAAGCACACAGCCGATCACCCCCAGGCTGTAGTGCAGTTCCCAGGAAAGGGTCTCGGGCAGATAAGATCATTGTTCTAAGCACTAGAGGGTTGTGTCATCACACCAGGCATAGTCTTGCAAAGGATGTCATGCATTCATCAGTGCTATTTGCATTAATATGTGTTTGCACTAAAACGTAATTGAGTATGCACTATAAATATATGTGACATGCAGAACGTGGGGCTAATAATTCCAGAAACATCTAGGTGTTATCTTGACCTAGTTTCTAAGATCAGACTAGCTGGGGGACCTCAGAGAAAACTATTCCTGAACCATGTCCCTAACTGAGCTTTTATTATACAGAGCAGGCGTGCAGCTCCAGGTCACCATGTATAAGGTTTGGTATCAGATTCCTCATTTCTAATGGTGAAAACTTGCCATCTGTCTGGGATTATGCCAAGGAGCAATCATGTGTGCAGAAATCTGTAAAATGTCAAGTGGTGTAAGGTATTAAATATTATGAATAACAATTTAATTATGTGCTGCTAATTGTTTTTAGGGGAGTTTTCAAGTTCCCACCTTGATTTAAGCCCACAGCTGGTGATTATGTTTGAACATTTAGTGATGTTCCCTTTGAAAAGGTGAAAGATATTGCCAAGAAGCTAATTGAACCAATCAGACACTACCTTTGCCATAGAAAATAATAAGAAATGTCACCATATTATCTTTTCTTTGGTGGATATCGGGCTTTAGAAAATTTCCAAAAGCAATTTGCAATATTTGGACTTCTAGTAGGCTTGAGTCCTGTGGGACAATTTACCTGTTTGGTTTGAGAGTGTAAAGTCAAGTTGCAAGAGAAATAAAGAGCAAAAGAACAAAAAGGACCTTCTGGAGTACATAAACATGTTAGTTGTTTATTTCTGTTCTTGCATTAAAGACCCTGTGGTTTCCTTCACTCTCGGATCTTGGATCAATGAAACCTTTGCCTCCAGCGAATGTGGTGAAGGATATGAAGGGAGGATATGTCTATAT